CCTGGGACAAGAATGGCTGGGGTAAAAGAAGTGCATCTTTTAAACTCTGGTATAAATTCTTAAATTTCTCTACAGAAAGAGGTAACTATACCCCCATTAATAGTTTATGAGAGCACTGTGACTTTATCTCTAACACTGGATATTACCAAGCTTTTAAATCTTTGCCAATTTGTTAGGTGAAGGACGATAGCTCCTTATTTTTTAACTTAGTTTTATTATTAGTGAAGTTGACAGCAGTATTTCATATTTTATGAGTCCTTGTATTTCTTTCACTGTGGATTTTATCTGCTGTGTCCTTTGCCCATTTTCTTATGGGGTATATTTATTGATTTATATTTTATTTTATTTTTAGTTTAATAAGAGCTTTTTGAGTATTATGGATAGTATATGTCTTAGTCTGTTTGGGCTACCAAAATCCAATAGACTGGGTGGCTTCTAAATAACAAAAATTAATTTCTCATGATTCTGGAGGCTAGAAGTGCAAGATGAGAATGTCAGCATGGTCAGGTTCTGCTAAGGCCCTGTTTTGGATAGCAGACTGCCAACTCCTTGCTGCATAATCACATAGTGGAAGAGGATAGGGAACTCCCTGGAAACTCTTTTATAAGGCACTAATCCTCTTCATGAGGGCTCCATCCTTTGACTCAAGAACTTCCAAACGTCCACCTCTAAAACTGTCATCTTTTGGGATTAGGATTTTAATGAATTTCAGGAGACACAAACATTTACACCATTGCAGTAAACCTTTTATATATTGCTTTGCAAGCATTATTTGTTTGTTGTGTTTATAGCTCCTTTTGCATCTATAAGTTTAAAAAGATTTATGTAGTTAATCCTGTCTTTTGCTAAATTGTCTGTCTTTTGCTGTGGTGTTAGGCTATAGTGTCTTCCAAGGAGAGGCCTTCTATACCTCTAGTATATGAAGAAATCTACTTTATTCCAGATACTTTACAGAAAAAAAGTCAAACATTTTTTAAAAAGTAATAATTTATTATTTTATATAACCTTTCCTTTGAGATGTTCTAGGCATTTGTAAGTCTAAATTCGTAGGAATTCATTGACAAAATCCATTTGTTCATTAAGAAATATTTATGACACATTCCTAGATGCTAAGCTCTTTTCTAGGCTTTTAGCATGCAGTGGGAACTTGTCTAGTGGAGGTAAGAATATGAGGGTTAACAGGAAAAAAAAATGTAATGTATCATTTTTTATAAAATTAATCTCTGTGGACCTCCTTCTGAATTTATATAACATGTAGACTCATACTTCTCATTATATCATTTATACTCTATTTCTTGGTTAAAATATAAATGACTTAAGAGCAAGGAATGTAGCTCATTCATCTTTGAATTCCTGGCATGTAGCTAGGTATCTGGCTCATTATAATGGCTCAAGAACTATACTATTAAATAAATAGATTTCCTACAAGTTGTCTCTTTCTTTCTCAAATGAATACTCATAATCCTATCTCCTTCTTCCTCCTTCTTCACCCCACCACCTTAGAATAAAAAAAAAGTACCTTATGTTGGACATAGTTCAAATCCTGATGGACTGATACTTGCATACATGATACAAATTCATTTGCATATGTGATACTTAAACATGCTTAGCTCATAAGGACTCAATTAAAAATTATTGAATAAATTAGTAACTACAGACAAAAAAAGTCATTCAGAAAACAGATGAAATGCTACACCCCTCTAAAGACAAGTTCACAGCAATGAATTTTATAGAACTTTAAGTTGTCTTATCTTGCAACAAAAAGTGAGTGAAACCACAAATAAAAGCCAGAGTTATTAATGCTGGAGAAACATCGACTTATAAGTATGGGCAGAAATAAAGCCTCAGAGCTAAAGATTTATGGTTCTCAGAGTCTTGCTGGGAACATTGTCTTTTTCTGTCACATGCCTGAGTTCAGGGAACCTCTTTTCTGAGGCTTTGAACTTCAGGGCTTTGCTGGGAGGCTGAGATTCATTTCCATCTTCTCAAATAGAGACTTGTTCTTGCCTCTCTGGTAATGAATGAACAGTTACAGCCCTTGGTGACAATTAGTTTTCTCTTTTGGAGCATTTCCCAGGGGTGATATGTGAATGCTTCTAGGACAAGGTTGTGAGGCAGCTCTGGAAGCTGGGACTTTGCTGAAGCAAATGTGCTCTTGTGGGATGCGGCTGTGAACACAGTATGTGCTATGATGTTAATAACACAGCCAAAGCACCAAACGAAAAAAAGTTTTTTTTTTAATCAGAGGGCTATTTTAAACAGTTATAGACATACACATATATAGATGCATTTATATTTCTGCAACCCCAAAACCTGAAATCATGTGAACAATGAGTCGGGCTTTATTAAAATAATTGGAGAGACTATTGGTTCAGTGTTTTCCCTCAGTGAGTGACCAATGACCAGCACCAAGCCTCCATCTGAAACTGGAAACCCTGGAATTCACATGGCCAATTATGCAATACTAGACCACTGGGAGGCATTTCTGGCTGGCTCAGCTGGTGATCTGCTTTTACCCTGAAGAACCAAGATTGATAGATCTTATAATTTTATCCTGGTTAGTGCAGATGCTGTTCTTACAAAGATTTTTTTTAACTCTCTTTTTCTCAAAAGTAACACAAACCTATGACCTTCCTAAGTGGCATGCCTTGCTGACACGTCATGGTGGTGAGATCAGTTGATCACTAGCTAGAAAAAAGACCTTTCTTGATTTTTGGATTTGCTGTAGCTTAATCTCATTGAATACTGTGTATGCATTTGTTTATGAGAAAGAGTGAAAAGGAACAGTAATTTGTCCCTCTAAATCACTTCGTTTATGAGGCTTCTTTGGGTGTGAGGGGGATGGGAAAGAGGCTCATTCTTAGAAGGTACAGAATATCAATTTAGGAGCCGTTTAGTGTCTCTCAAGCTAATGATAAGGTATAATTTTAAAACATCACATTCATATGCATATATGATGCATACATACATAATTAGTCTATTTACAAAGCACCTTGCAGAACCTTAGAAGTCCTAGTTTCATTAGCCCTTAAAGTGAAAATGAGTTCAGATCAGTCAAGCATGATGGAATGTGGTCCCTTTGAATTATCTTCACCCATTATCCATGTCTAGGAAAGAGACCTCCAAAAAGGTGAAATTCATTTTTTTTCTGAAGGGCTGCCACAGTTTGTTACGTGTTTAATTGCTTCTGCAGTTCTAATTACAAAATAAGCACTAACTACTACGTGGAATAAATACACTAGCCAAAAGATTTTTATAATCTGAGAGAAATGCTCCCATATTGACTCTGCTAAGAGAAAGAACTCCCCTTGCCTTGATTATAAAGAAGGAAGACAGATGGCTTCTTGTTTAAGACAGTAATTTTGCTTTCAGCCTCCTCCCTCAGTTAAAAACAAGATGTACTTTGAGGCTTTGAGGGAAAATCTCAAGGGAAGGTTTTTTATTCCTGTCTGCACTGAATAATTCAACAAACATTTGAAAGAGCTGAGGGAGATATAAAGGAGAAAATGCTTCTACTTGTTCTCAGGGAGTTTACAATCTAATTGTGAAGTTTACAGTCAGAATTGGGACTAGAGCCATTAAAGTTTTATTTTTTACTCCTACTTAATGGCCTAATGGTTACTGGTAACCCATTTAGGATTAACCAGACTAGTGTTATAGTATGCTGGATGCTTTGATCAGATTGAAAGAAAACATGGGAGAATGCAGAGGAAGAATTAATGATCTCAAGCAGTACTTGTTGAGTGCTTACTGATCTAGCAGTTGTTTTCTTATTTAATTTTGACATCTCTTCCTGGTCATCCCTATTACCACAGAGGATGAGAATGAGACTTAGCAAAATGATTTATTTACAGTCACAGACCTCATAAATAGTATTAGTACACACCAACCAGGAATTCTCCTCCGGCCTTTTCTTTGGCTTTTCCCAGGTTCCTATTTTGACTTTCCTTTGCTTAGATTCCCTTTCGATGCATGTCAAATCAACTTAGTTCTGTGCTATTTCCCCCCTTAGACTTTGCATAATCTTTACAACTTGCTGTTTTTATTTGGCTAGGCCTTCTAGAGTCTCACTCCCTTTCATCCTTGCAAATAAAGTTTTCTTTTTTTTTCTGATTCTGTCTTTGAGGCATTCTTTGACAAGTGAAAACATAAAAGGCTTACCACAGTGCCTGTTTCATGGTTCTCTTAATATTAACCCTGATCTTCAGTTTTATTTCTACCACCTTTTAACTGTTCTTATTCACACTATTGCCCAAGAACTCTTTTGAGGTTGTAAATTTCTTGAAGGTAGTGACCAGCCAGCGCACTCCAACTTGTTACCCCAAGAGTGTATTAATGTAGCAACCAGGACTTGTGAGAAGCAACTTTTGTCTCTTTTGCTCATCTCATTATTCCTAGTGCCTTAAAAGGCACTTAAAGTAATTAAAACTACTGGAATTTAGTATGTCCTCAGAAAGTATTTATATGATTTAAACCTCCCTTGTTCTTTCTGTGGGCCATCCTGTATAAGAAAGTTTTGCCCAGATCCAGTATGGCTCTGAGTTGAGAGACCTGGAGAACTTTCTGCCTTTTCTCTATTTTCAGCTTTTTAAAAATAATTTCGACCTTGGGTGCATTTCATTAGGCTCTTGCTCCCTTTCAAGGCTCAGTGTCCATATCAGCAAAATGGGGCCACTGGCAACAGATGCTTGTTTCTCACCTACTCCTTCTCCAGGGAATGTTTTTTGTGTACGCTTTCGTCTGGATGAAAAGCACCTGTGGAGGCCGTAAGAAGCCATTAGGGTCCTCTGGCAGCGCGCTCCGTGGGGACAGCACACGACTCCGCGTGTTCACCAGTCTCCCGGGAGCGGAAGCACCCGGCCCCATTTCGACAGAGAGCCTTCCTAGCCCTCGGGCGTTCAGCCCCGGGCGCTCCCACCGACCTAGCAATCTGCCTCGGTGCCACCGCTAAATAGGTTCGGCACCGCGCAGACTCCGACGCGCGTGGAAGGGCCCGGCCTCGTTTTGGCCGCTGTAGAACTGCCGCCGGCGCGGCGCCGCGCTGCACTGGGGGCGGGGAGTCTGATGGGAGACGAGCGCGGCGCTGAGGAGGCGTCGGCCCGGGTGAGGGAGCGGGAGAGGGACTGGGCCCGGGAGGCGGGAGGCGGGGGACGAGGGGAGGGGCTACCGCCGCCGCCGCCCGCCCCTTTCCGCTGGGGAGCAGCTGCAGCTGCAGGAGCCGAGCGAGAGCCGCGCAGCCGCCGCCGCCGCCGCCGGGGGATGTGGCCGGCGCCCGCCCCGAGCCGCGCCGCCTCCTGAGTGCCCACAGCCGCCCGTGCTGCCGCCGCCGCCAAGCCGTGCAGAGCCAGGCCGCGCCCTCCCCGGGCGCTCGCCGGCTCGCATGCCGAGGGGCTCCGGGGCGTAGCTGCGCGCCCGGCGCCGCCTCCGGGCTTCTCCGGCCCCGCCATGGGCTGCTGCAGCTCCGCCTCCTCCGCCGCGCAGGTGAGGGGCTCCCGCCTCCCGGCCGCCCGCCCGGATGCCTCCCAACCGGCGCCCGCCACGCGATGTGTCCCGCCACCCGCGAGTCTCTCGTCAGCCCACCGTGCACTCCGGAGACCCCCACCTCCTCCTCTCCCTCCTTCCTGTCCCGCAGATGCCTTCGCGGCTGCCGACTCGCAGGCGCTTCTGCGCGGCCCCCAGGGCGCCGCCGGCTCTCGCCAGCCCCTTTCCGACTTGGCTTCTTCCCTCCCTGTCACACCTGAGCGGCCCGGCCCGCCCGCCCGCAGGTGGAGGTAACACGGGCGCCTCCTCTCGGCCCCAGGGGGCACCCCCTTCCCTAAGTCTTCCGGGCCTTGCGCCTGTCTTCCCACCTCCAGGGAGTCTCCTGCTCCCCATACACCGATGGATGTTTTCTGTGCTTCCTGAAGGAGTACCCCAACATGGGCTCTTCACCCCTCTCCCACCTTATTCCAGTTTCTGCTCCATTAGATATTCTCTTTGGCCCGCAGCCCCCGTCCGGGTTCAGGTGTTTAAGCGGGTCCGGCAACCCTTCCACTGCTCACTTCCCAGAAAGCACCCGCTTGCCTTCACCCCATCCCCCCTTTGTGCCTTGACCCCGGGCACCGCGGCCTCCAAGCACACCGAGGCCCCTGCGGGAGCGCTGGGACGGGGCTGGGAAGGAGATTGGGCCGCTGGTGGGTGACGGGAGCGTTACGGAAACTCCCTCTTTGTTGCCAGTGTAACAGGAGGAAGAGGTGCTGAATTTAGTTTTTCTGGGGGCACTGGATGAATGTTGTCGCTGAGGGCTGAGATGCAGAGATTTCTCTCAGCTTCCACCCTGCCCCCATCCAAATTTCGCTAACCTCCCCCTCTCTTGCCGATCCGAGCCCTTAACCTGGATGGAAATGTTTAGACAACTGTATAAGGATCAGATGTAATAGAACTTGACTGCTGGCCACTAATAACTGAGAGAACCTGTTTGTAAATTACCTAATTTAGTGGATTAGTGAGTGTATTTACAAATACGATAAAAAGCAATCAGGAATACTGCATCAAACTGTCTACTGGTGGTGTATGAAAAATAGGCTCTGACAATGCCTGGGATGTAATCTCACAGTTTCATTAGCGTAGATTTAACAGTGGTCTTTGATTTGTTTGTTTTTGTGGGGAGACAAGGGCTCTTGTTTTTAGAAATAAAGACTGGTCTGTTCTTGGTGAAGAAAAAGGCTAGTTTGGAAAAAAAAATTCCTCCAGAGATCTAGCATCTGTGATAATGCCAGAAGTGTTTTGCTGCTGCTAAATGACTATATATAACTCAGTTTTAAATAACCTGCATACTTGTTCTGAAAATCTGAGATGTTAGAAATTGACTAGAATTGCAGATGAATGGAGGACATTATGTTTTATCAAGCATCCATCCTATTTGTCCAGTTCTTTTTTGGGGGTATTTGCTTACCTGTGAGTTTTTTGTTTGTTTTGTTTTCCTACTAGGATCATACATACTCAGTCTGATTGGTTTAGTTAGGTAACCCTTCCTGTCAGAATAGCAAAGAAAAACTGTATGTGGTTGTGTTATGAAGGAGAGGTCAATAGACCAGGGTTTTCATATTAACAGATACAGGTGTGGAATTATACAATACCTCTCAACTGGTTAGGGAGTTTGGGTGGGGGGGGAGGGAGGATCTAGTTGTATGCATCTAATATTTATTTAAATATTGTTTTCACCCAAAAGGTGTCTTACATATTGCCTTTCTTTTAAGAACTGGGTTACTTTACATCCTCTTTTGGTGGTGAAAGGCCTTTAAGACAGAAGAGTATTGACAGTTTATAGATGGCTTGTTCAGTGTGTGAACACTTAAATTTGCGGGAGATGGATTCTGAACCAAAACTCTGCTTTAATAACAGGTCTTGGATTTGACTAGCTCCACGTTGTACTCTTCAGAATGCTGCCACATACATTTTCTTTGCTTTTTCCACCTCTTGTGGCCGGTTTCCTTCATGCCATGTTCTACATACAAGATGCATGTCTTGCACCCCGAGGGGTGCTTTTTTTTTCCTCCTGTGGACTCCTATAACCAATCAGCAGCTGTCACATGCCTTTAAGTTCAGCTTCAGGACTTGTAGTATTCTGTGGAGCATTGAGGAGGAGGTTCTATGCCAAAAGAGCTGGTCATCATCTTTTTTTTCTTGTTTGAGATTTTGGCATCATTCTTCATTTGTGAAGTGTTACAAAGCTGATAGCATTTTAATGCTCCTTTCAGGAGCATAAGCAGTTTTAGAATAATGTATCTGTGTGTGTTGAAGCAAACTAGGGATGCAACTCCATATCACTTTGAGCCTTGCTTAGAAGCCATACTTTTATTTTCAGGCAGAATGTTTCTTTTATCCCTTTTACTGGACTATAAGCTGCTTCCGTGCAGGAACTTCTTTTGTTTTCCGCATTTCTGTATCCATTGCAGTGCTTCACTACACCTGTACATAATAGCTGCTCAGCAATAGTCAATACACAAAATGTATGTACACACATTTGAACATCTGGCTGGCAAGTAACATTGAATATGAATCCAGCCCTGACCCATGTGCTCTTTCCCTTGCATGGGCTGGTTGACTAATTCCACCAAGCCATCCTCTTCTAAGCTGAAACCTGAGCTGTTTAAGTTAAAATCCATCTGCCTTTCCCACATTCCTTCCTATTCTGTCAATGGTATTACCAGTTTGCAAAGTTGGGCAGGTTTTTCCTTTCTTCCTGGTCCTCTGCTCAATGCTTATGTTTCAGCTGGAGCAGTGGCTATAACGTCTTAAAAAAGCTTGTCTGCAGACTCTAATGATAACCTGCACAGCACATCAAAACAATGTGCTTTGAGGTAATCTACAGTTCAGCTTAGCTTTTCTCAGTGGTATCGTCAGCAATTTTAAAGCCTTGGCAGGTTTTATCAATGTAAATACAGTGTGTTTCCTTCCTGTAGTAGGGATTCACTTTTGAAATATAATTTATTTTCCCTTATGGTCTCTTGCTGTGTTATAGACACTAATAAAAGAGTTTATGGTTTTCCAAACTGTTTCATCTCTTCCAAACAGTTTCATCTTGTTGTCTGTCCTGGCGTTTTTTCAGTTTTTTGGCAGTGTGTGGATATCATAATATGTCATCAGTATAATTATCCTGTTTTAGGATTTAGATCAAAGAAAAGTCTCCATTTCATACTAGCTTGTATTTCACTGGGGAAGGAGCAAATTATTGGCAAAACAATTTGTGCTGTATTAGGAATGTATATCTAAAAATCTTAAAGAGTGTCTAGTGAGTCAGGGCTCTTACAGAACTCTTTATGTTTTTGTTTTTTTATTAGTGACCACTGCAAGTTATTTGTTAATATTAGTAATTGCTCACAACAAGCCAACACATGATAGCCTTTGCTTAAAAATCTCTTTGAAGAGAATATAAGATAGTCTTGTTTCCTTTTACAGCACGAATCCTCCCTAAGACTCTTAAAATTTACTCCCAACTCTCCATTAATTCGTTTGTTCTGTTATGACCTGACATAATTTCTATTCTTGTAATGTTAAACTTCAAAGTTCACTTGTAAATCTTCAGATTTATGAAATGTTCTTTCCCATTGACAAACCAGTTTGAATGAAGGAGGCTTTTGAAAGATTACTTAGCAAATTGCTGTAAGTCTTTGTCGTTAATGGCTAGGTCATTAGTTCTCACAGCAGTGCTTTGGAGGCCAGGAGATTCTGCAAGTGTGAAATTCAGTGTCCTTTGGTTCTAATGTTAGAAATTGTGAGAGGGATGGAGGAAATCTTTCTGGTTGAACAAACTGTCCCTTGTCTGTCTGACTTCAGGAGAAATTGTACTTGCCTAATGCATTATTCCGTGATCTTCAAATTGAGAGCTGTATATTTAGCTGTCCTTTTCTAGCTGTCATGTATTGTCTTGGGATTAATGAAAAACAATCAAGTGGCTCACAAATACAGGTTAACTTTTCAGGATATTAACTGTTCCTTAACAGAATTTTAGTGACACTGTAGTCTATCTGCTTTGTGGAATTTGAAGTCAGATGGCAAAAATGAAATTTGAGGAGTGTAGTGGGAATTACCAAGAGACTAAGTTGTTCCATTAAAATATGTCCAGCAAAGTAGACTTGCTCTAACTGGAACAAAAAAGTCATAGTACGAAGACAGTTTTTTTTTTTTTCTTCTTTGAAATACCTGCTGTTAGCATAGAAGATCCACTCATCAAAACATCTAAGTCAAAGTTAATGTTAAAATTATGTGGAAAATAATGTAAAAATGGCAATACTTTTTGTATAGCTATTTTTCACAGCCGTTTTAATTTCTACAGTAACTCTGAAGTTGACTTAACTTCTGTTTTACAGCTGAGGGTATTGAGACTCGGAGGTAGGAAACTTGGTTAAATTCCTAAGAGCTGCTAAGTGAAAGATCCAGACTTCAGCCCAGGTCTTCTGAATCTGAGCACTGTGCTTTTCTATGTTTACGTGCATGCTTCCTAAATCTTCAAATGCAGTTCACTTTATCTTTAGAAAAGTTCTGCTCTATAGAATTTTGAATTGGAATTTCCAAGTTAAATTCATGGCACCATTTTGACCTTCCTGCATTTACTAGCTGTG